TGACAGGGGCAGGATTGGAGGGAGAAAGAGGGAAGGAGCAGGTGGGTGGGGAGCTTGCAGGTTGCTGCTCCCCCATTGGCCCCTCCACCCTGGATCACTGGCATTCTTCCCTAATCAGTCTGAGAGTGGTGGAGGCACCAGTGGTGGTAGTGGTGGGGGGGGAGTTTCTCCTCCCTGCTTGCTCCTGGGGTCCCTGCGGATCATGTCAACTCTGTGCACCCAGCTCCAGCCCCTGCTGGGCCACATAATTTAATGGAGCTGGAGGGGCAAGGAGCATGAGCTTCAGGGAACCTAGAAACAGTCCCCCCACACTACCCTGCCAGTGCTCTCAGGCTGATTGGTGCAGTAGAGTAGAGATCCAGGGGCTGAGGAGTCGATCCAAGAGTCAAGGGGGGGTTTGGGACCTGTTGAAGGGACAAGATCCAAGCCCCTTCCTGGTCTGTATTTTAGCTAGAGAACAGTAAGCAGGGAAGGCATGGAGAAGATTTGCAGTCCCTATCCATGCCTCTGCTCATCAGCCCTCTAGCAGCAGGTCTGAGCTGTGCGCATTAAAGAAGGTTTTAACCCTGGATGTGTGACTGATCACTAGCACTTGTATTTATATTTATACATTCCCATAGTAGACCTTAAAATGTTGTTTGGTGCCCAGATAGTTAAACAAGTATTTGTTGTTAGATAACCTTAGAAGCTGCAGCATAGACAGACTAAGACAGGCTAACATTCCTTAGAATTAGCGTCTGCTAGTTCTAACATGCAGTCTTGCCCTTATCTTCATGCTTGTGTGGCACATGTTCACAGTATCATTTAAGACTTCACCATGTTCCTACACCAGAATTGGGCTGGTCTCTGCTAAGTGTTTGTGCACAAATACTTGGGATAAGTTTATCCAAACTATAACTGCCTCCAGTTTATTCCAACATCGTTGTATATCCACCGGTCGGTAGAAATAACCTTTCCTTGAGCACATGCACCACAGGCATGCCAAGTGTACAAGTCCTGTTAAAGATGATAGGAGTTAACTCTTTCTTTTGCTGATGTGTGGTATTATAAAGTAAAAACCATTGCAATCAATTGCCTATGTCTCTTTTATAATATTTACTGTGGTATTTCTTATCAGCCAGGTTAACTAGTCTGTGAACAATGGTAACTACATAGTAGTTCACTATTGCATTCCTTCATTATCTCAAGAATAGCACATATAACATTATAATTGGTACAGTAGTAAAGAAAACGAAAGAGGTGTACAGTAATCATCTCTGTATAAAATGGGAAAAGAAAATGATTACAAAGTAATAACTGAGATTTCTTCACTGATATGCATCCTCCTCATTGTGCACATTGTGGAAATGAATCTCTGTCTAGACTCATTCTTTTTACATACTTCAGAGAAAACTGGCTGAACTCTGATCTCTCATCAATGTAAATCAAAAGTGTAAGTGAGTGTAAGTGAGATCCAGCACCCATCTATACTGGGGAGAACAATAAAACGAACATTGGATATCTTGCAGATTCTGATTCCCTGAAGTCTCAGAAAATACTGTTTTATTATAGTAGCCCTACTGAAGTGCTATGGGCTGCTCATTTTTGAAGGTGCTAATCATAGTGAGCAATGGAGATCACAACCGGGCTGCTTAGATCCAGATTCTGCCCTCTATCAGTGTGATTTCCCATTACATTTGATGGGTTTAGCACTAATTGCAAGAATGCAAAACTATTATTTTTTACAAATCTCATCTTTTTAAAATAGCTCTTGAATAAAGATTTTGGACAAAATCCCACAGCCCTTGTGCACTGAAAACTCCCTTTGGCTTTACTGGGAGTCCGCCCAGAGTAACAGCTCTAGAATGTTGTCCTTTGACATTATAGATGCACTCAGTATGGATTGGGGGAGGAATTTCCTATATTTAGCTTTATGTTCATGTACATATCTGTCTGCCTTGATCTGGGCCAGATTTTAATCTCGGTTACCCCATCGTAAATCCAGAATAATTTCATTAACTTCAGCAGAGTTACCCAAGATTTACATGAATGCAGCTGAGATAAAATCTGGCCTATATTCCCAAAGCACACTATACAAATGTCAGCTGCATGTTTTACAAGTTTAAAGCTTTGAAATAAGTATCCTGTTATCATGGACATGTTGGGATTTTTTTTTTTTAATTAATTTTTTTTTTTTTTTTTTGCTACAAGTGGTAAATTATTACTTGGAAATAGACTTAATAGAAAAATGTCAGCAACCATAAGGCCAGTCCTCTACAACAGGAAAAGATAATTACCTCCATCACAGGATTTACTGGGTGATATTCCATGCCTTGTGTTGTGCAAGAGTTCAAATTAGAGGATGATCACAACCGAACCTTCTGGCTTCTAAAATCTAAGAACAGTGCTCAGGGTGCTCTATTTCCCTAAAGAATAATTGAAATTGAATGCACATGGACTCTTGCAGGATTTGTGCCTTATAGATACAGAGCTTCCTGAAGAGTGTGAATAACATGAAATGAACTGAATTTTTTTTTCTCAGACTGCTGATTAGCTCTGCAAACACAGTTCCCAGCTCTGTTAGTAAAGACTATAAAAACACAGAGCGCCCTAATAAAGGCAACCAAGGACAGTATCAACATAGATTGCTTTTTTTTTCTCTTTTGGTTGAGATATTACCAATATGTTCAGTTCACATTTCTGTCTGGACACATCCGTTCTTTTGGCACACAAAACATGTTCCTGGAACATAGCCTACTCTATACGCTAAGTCATTAACTGTTGGGTTATTAAAAAGTTAATGATGAAAGACAGAAACTGTTAACCAGAATATTGAAATGTGCTTTTAATTTTTTCAGTGATGCTGGAAACAGCCTGATATTTCTAGTACAGCAGAAGGAAAACAAATAACCTCATCCATGGAGAGAAAAAGACAGCTACAGAAAAGGGAATTTGGGAAAAGATTTTCTCTGGACAGCAGTCTTGTGGTAAGAATAAAAATATTCATTTACTGTATATATGTTTTGGCATTAAAAGTATTGCTCTTTGATTACTCTGCCCCAAAATATTGTCCCTTTTTAAAGCATATATTTTAAGGCAAGCCATTAAAATAGCAAAGCCTCTGGTGAATATAACAAACTCCAGGGCTAATGGATTTTTACATCAGCATAACAGCAGCATATTATGACATAAAGGCATGTCACTAGATTCATTGAAGTTACACCAGGGAAATATGGAGCATAGTATACAAGGGTTATTTTGAAAACAGTTGCCAATGTTCTATAAAATAGAAAAATCTGGTTACATCAGTGTCTGTAGTGTTCTCATGTATTTTCTCATACTTAATATAGGAAATACCTTGAATGCTGCAACTTCTAAGGTTATCTAACAGCCAATACTTGTTTAACTATCTGGGCACCAGACAGAATTTTTAAGGTCTGCTATGGGAATATATAAATATAAATTACTGTAATATCATTTAAAGGAGAAATCAATGGGCATCTACTGCAGATCAATCATTATTGCCATACTGGATCCTGGATTTCATAGGAACACATCTGAATCTAAATTTGCCTTGAAAAATTCATGTTTAAGCTATGGAATGAAGATGATAAGGAATATTTATTTGTCTTATCATGCATGCCCTGTTTAAAAAATTCTTCGTAGATATTGAAGGTGGTGGTCAGCTTTCACATTCCCAGGATTTATGACCATTCTCTAATACTTCATATAGGGATATAACTTTTACTTGGAGTATATATTTACAACTAAAATGCTGAAATAGATCAAACTGAGAGGTTTGGCCCAACCCACATTGACCTCTATGACTTCTGCAATGACTGTATCACCTTTTGAGTGCCCCCTACCTGCTGAGAATGATGCTTAGGGTACTAGCTGGTATGTTGAGTCCAAAATTGAGTTTGGACCCCTGGCTGGCAATGTCAGAATGGAAGAAGCCTATGTAGGGTGCAGAAGTACAAGGAACTACTCCTTTCCTTATCTCTCAAATGCAGAGATGAAATGAGTCTGAAGGTCATCCATTCTGCCAGGGGTAACTGGTGCCTCCTGAGTCTGGTGGGGCGCAAGTTGTGGGCGGGTCTGGGGGCAGGCCCAAAGCCCCATATCCACTCCTATACTTCTGTGGCGTGGCTTAGTGACACCCCCCCCCCCCCAACAGACTGCCAGCATGCGTGGAAAAAAACCTGCCCCGTCTTAAGCGGTGCTGAGTCAGGGGCCAATCTCACGGGGGGTACATACTCACTCCCCATGCCCCCGCTACCAGTTGCCTGTGCACTCTGCCTTGTAAAATATGATCAGGGAGAGAACAAGGCTCCCCCAGCCTGAAGAATGGGCTTCCAAAGGTCATAGTGAAAGAGTGAAACCTGTTAACTGCTTGGCATGTAAGGCACAGCACTCATTTTTACACTGTAAGCAGCTTCAAAACATTTGGATGTTGTGTCCCTTCCTGTAATGGGCCAGCCTCCCTTCCAAGTAGGTCAGCCTTTTCAAGGCCTGTATCCACTTGCCAGGAGCTTGCATAGTTCAGAAGTTTACAGGTACTTTCTTGAGTGTTTCTTGCAAGTGCACTGAACTGGGATTGAAGAACTGAGATGAAGTTTCATCAAGTAATGCACTATAAGAAGGAAGCAGAACTACATTAAACATTTATTATGCACCGATAGAGTATGGGCTGTGTTTATACAGGGGTCCAAATTCTGCTAACAGTTCTAGGCATGGGCACTACTGAAGTGGCCTCTGACCTAATTCCTACGGCTATAATTTATTTCTGGGTTCCAATGGCAGCCGTGCGTTCAGAGGTAAATAGAGACGGTAAATTGGAGAGTAAAGCTGAAAAGAATATTCTATTGTAATGTGTTTTGAGCATACTAACTGCTGGAATGGTGCTATCTGGCACAGCTATGCTTTTCTTGAGAAGGCATCTGAGGTATGTGAAGTTTGAAGGATATGGTTTGCTGTTTTGCACCTTAGATGTCAACATATGTGTGCATATTTTGTAATTGCATGCATCATGGGTCAGGATCTAGCCTGCAGGTCTACGGATCTAGGGGATTTCAGTGGTAGTCTGACAAGGGGGCTTTGACAGCACCAGATTATACCCTTGCCATGCCAAAATTGGGTGGCAGGAGGCTGCCACAGTATGGGCCTTGGCTGGATTGCAAAGAGAAGCAGCACTGGCAGCCAGGTCCTCGTGTGGGGTCATTCTGCCACTGCAAAAAGCTGATAGCTGCTGGCACATATGTTTGCTGTCAAAGGAAGCTTTATGCTGAGTAAAATTATTGAATTGATTATTTAAAGCAACATACAAGTGATAGTTATTGTTATTAGTCACCAAGTGGTTATCTCTTAGAAGTCAGAGAAACAATTTTGGGTTCATCTTTGTTAGTCTGCTACCTTCCCATACTGCGGGTAGGATAAATTAATTCCTTCACCTGTCGGTTCCTTTCTGTCTCTTTAGCATCCTGGTCCTCTCTCTCCTTTTCTCCTGCATCCCCAGTGTTTATATATTCCATTAGGTTGCTATGTTTCCAAAATTGGTCCACTCATCTCCACATGCAACTCCGTTTCTTATGTTCATACTTCCCTCTCACACTCTTCTCTTCACATGAGCCTGCTGCCTAACTGTGCCCTTGTTGTCTTCTTGCACTTTCATTTTCAGGTATTCTTCAAGACTACACACTAGTCTTCTAACTGTTGACTCTGATTCTCCATTAAAAAAATACCACACTCCCTCCTTCATAGATTTCATAGACATTAGGGCTGGAAGGGGCAGGAAGTCAGCTGGGGTGAGATCACCCCAGCAAGATCCAAGCATTTCTTAAAGGTATCCAGAGTAGGTGCTTGCACCACTTCTGGGGAGAGTCTATTCCAGGCTCTGGAGACTCAGATGGTAAAGAAGTTTTTCCTTATGTCCAGGGTAAAAGAGTCTTCCAGTAGTTTGTGACCATTAGACCTTGTCTTCCCTTGGGGTGCCTTGGTGCACAGATGTTCTTCTGGTTCCTGATGCACACCCCTTATATACTTGTAGGCTGTCACCAAGCCTCCGCTGAGTCTTCACTCCTCTACATCCTTCCTAAAGTGCTGAGCCCGGAATTGGATGCCATATTTCAGCTGTGGCCTCAGCAAAGCTGAGTAGAGCAGGAGGATGACTTCCTGGGTCTTGCTTGAGGTGCATCGGTAGATGCAGTCCTTGTTTTGTGGCATCTTCTAGCAATATTCCACCAGAGAGAGAATCTCATTTGCGTGCTTTCAAAAGCAACCCATTTACAGCTTTTGACCTTGGACTATGAGAAACCAGTATACACAGGAGTTCACGTTAAGGAAAAGAGCAGTGTGATATGACTTTACCTAACTACTTCATATTGTCTTCTCCTTGTAGAAGTGAATATTTCCATGAAGGGAAGAGAGAAAGAATAGGAAAAGGTGGCATTGAGCCATTCTATTTTTTGAAATCTGAATGCAAACTTTGCTGTGTGCCAATTATGAAGTGAAGAACTTAAGCTTCTAGTGCTGGGCTCAGATATCAACTTCTAATTTGGACTTTCACTTGGGCTTATTTCTAAAATTGGGACCTTCAAACAGTGTACTGTTGGGAGAACAGTACAAATACACATAAGACTCTCCCTAGAAGTACAATGCACAGTCTTTTTTTTTTCCTTTAATTTTCTTACGTGAAGGGAAAGTGAAATGTATGTATGTATTGCCCACCACAAACTTCCCCAATTTTAAAATAACTACCAGGTCAGGTAACATGAACTTTAACATGGCAGCAGATAAGCTTTATATGAAAGATATCTAGATACATATTGTGATTTCCTGCTGTGAATTTGGAAACATAAACGTATATACATACATGCATATCGTATTTACAAATATAGGTTTACATAAACAATAACTCTTATCAACCCTGAACTCAGGCACAGGCCTTAATCCTCTGAGGTCTTCCGGTTATCGGCAGTCCCTGCCCTCGACAGGACCTGCCAGGCAGCAGGCAAAGGAACACTCAATGACACAACACATGTTAGACAACAAATCAACAACAGGAAGTGATGGGACAATAATTGAACATACACAATAAGATGACATAAAACGAGATACACATGCATAAAGATTAGGGCTGCGTGAAGCTTTGGTAGCTGATTTGATTTGAAGGAGATTTGGCCTGATTCAGTGGCCAAATCCAAACTGAATCCAAACTGAATCGGGAGACCCATTAAAGGGTCATAATCAATTCTGAAGACTTCCAATTGATTTGGAAAAGATTTGGAGAGATTTGGAGATTCAGATCGGCTGGGCAGAGACAGGTATAGGTGACTGCAGGTTTTCCCATGGCTCCTCTGTCTGTTCCTGCCTCTCCCTGGGTGGGGGGAGCTGTGGGAGAAGCCCCCATTCATAGCTTCCCTGTCCAGCCCCATCCCTCGCCTAGTCCCAGCCTCTTGGCACTTAAAAGAAGAAAAAAAAAGAAAAAGAAAAAATGCCCTGCACTCACTGGCTGCAGAGAGGGCTGTGGGGGCTGTGGGGTCTTCTGACAGAGCCCCCCCATGCAGCCCCTGTTCCCTGATCGCCCACCCCTGATGGCTTCCTTGCCTGGCCCTAGCCTCCCAGCAATTTAAAAAATAAAAAATAAAAGCCCTGCACTTGCCAGCAGTAGCAGGGGCTCTGGGGCCATGTGGCAGAGCCCTCCCACACAGCCCCTGCTCCCTAATCTTCCCCCCCACCCAGGTCTGCCCCTGATGGATGCCAGCACCCCAGCAATTTAAAAAAAAAAAAAAGCCCTGCACTCACCGGCAACAGTAGCAGAACCAGGCCCCCCCCCCCCCCAATGCAATGTGGGGAAGTGGGAGGCAGCGGGGATTGCCCCCCCTGCCTGGCACCCATGCAGCAGCTGCCCCATGGCACAGGTGCAGCGCAGCTTGACAGGGCGCCACTTGCTTTCTGGGAGCTTTTATCCATTCTGGAGACTTCCCCC